TGAAGTCAGATTTCTTTTTTCTGTTTTGTTTACTTGAGTATCTGCAGATCTAGAATGGGAGCTGGTGGATCAACATTTACTAAGAGAATGAATGAATGGATGAATGAGTGAATGAATGATGTTATATATAAGCAGCCGCCCTAGCCTGTGAGGTGTACTGCTGTGTAAAACAAACTAGGATTCTCCAAGGCCCAGCCCCAGGTCTTGAGAACATAGGTCAAGGGAGAGCCTTGAGTATCCCCACTACAGTGTTTTTAAAGTGATTAAATAAATTTAAATCTGCTTTAAAGGGAGGTAGGGGGGAGTCTCTGATAGAGCCAGCACATCGGTAGCCTCTGCCGTGGTGGCAGGAGGAGCATGGGCTCCCTGCAGGTCATGGGGGCTCTCGACGCAGTGAACCAGGCGACCTTTCCCTAGTCCTCAGAGAGCCCCTCGGCGAAGCTGATCACCCAGCGGGCAGTGTCAGAGATGCTGGCAGATGGAGCTGGGGTGGCAAAGGGCAGGTGTCATGGCAGTGCCCAATTTGCCATATCCAGGAGTCAGTTCCAACCGGTAAGGGAGTGAAGAGCCAGAAAGAAAATCTGATGAGAATCAACAATACTGTAAGCGCTGCTGTCCCAGCTTTGTAGATGGGAAGAGTGAACAAATAGCACATGGGGTTAAATAAGAACAACTGACGTAGAAGGCCAGGAGAAACACTCTTAGTAAATAAAGAAGAAGGACATATCATAATGAGCAGGTTATCAGCAAAAAAAAAAAAAAAGAAGAAGAAGACAAAAGCTAAAAAGTAAACAGTCAACTCTGTAGATTTCTAAAGGGATTCAAAGCAGCGGAAATGTGATGGAGTTCACACACAAACATACGCACACGGAAACGAAGCAAAGAGTTAAACGCATTGCAGGGTTATTGACCCCTTTTTTAAAATAATCATTTCATCCTAGCACTACTTCCTTGGCATGCATACTAGTTGTTTTACTAACAATGTTGACTGCCTGCCATTATATTCTCTAACACTTCGGACTAGTTTCATTTAAAAAAAAAAAACTGTTTCAATTCATAACAGCAAATATAAGATAAAATGTAATCATTTAAGCAAAATCTGAGCACCATACGTATTTATTGTAAGTCCTGCTTTTCTGTACAGGAA